AGCACGATCATTATATTTGTTCATTCTCTTTTTGTAAAGAGTGAGTAATCAAACGTACTTTGAAGGTACCCAGTAGTAACTAAGGCTTCAGTTAACCTCATGTTCCATTTCCTAGAAACTTACTTGAGGCCATAAATAGACTTCTGCAGCCTACAAACTGGGTCCCCCCTGGCTGTAGAATCCCTGAGGTAGCTGCATGTAAACTTCCTCAACCAAATTTCCCTGAAGAAATGCATTATACACATCCATTCAAAACAATGACCAATGTTGCATAGAATCCAAGGCTAAAAGAATACGCATTGTAACAAGTTTGACAACATGCGAGAAAGTTTCAACATAATCTATACCCTCTCACTGGTTATAACCTTTCGCAACCAAACATGCCTTGTAGCGCTCAACCTCACCATTAGACCGATACTTAACCTGTACACCCATTTGCATCCAATGAGAACCTTCCATGGTGGCAAAGGAACCACATACCATGTATTGTTTGACTCTAATGCTTGAATTTCCTCTTTCATGGACTTAATCCATAAAGGTTTTTGAATAGCCTCATTATAAGTAGTAGGTTCAAGTATATAGGTAGAAGAAAGAAAGGATTGAGTATGAAAAGGAAGATGAGAATAATAAATAGTATTTGAAATAGGATAAGAACTAAATGTGGAAGATTGGAAGGAAACATACTCATTCAACCAAAGAGGAGGCTTTGACATCCTAGAAGATCTCCTAACAACCTGTTCAACTGGAGCAACAACATTAAGAGAAGAACAAGAAACTGGTGCAAGAGAACGAGGACCATTAGAAGAGTTGATAGAATTAGACTGCTGACAAGACAAACCAGGATGACTATGATGACCAGAAGAAATATCAGTTGAAGTCAACAAATCAAGAACAAAAAATTCAGAATCAGGAACAAAGGGTTTAGAGGGAAATAATCTGGAAGACAACTCAGGAGAATGAATGAAATCGAACATCCTTACTAACAAAGAATGACTTAGAAACAAGACTAAAGATCAAATAGCCCTTTTGAGTGACAAAGTACCCCATGAAAACCGAAGGAACAACTTTAGGAAAGAACTTATCACGAAGCTTAGTATTAGTAGCATAACCCAAGCAACCAAATACTTTAAATGAGATAAATAAGGTGATTGGTGATAAAGTAATTCATAAGGAGGTTTCCAATTAAGAACGACAGAAGAAAGTCGATTAATTATATAACAAGCTATTAAAACACAATCTCCCCAAAACTTAATATGTACTTGAGACTGAAAACGAAGTGCACGGGCCACTTCCAATAAATGTTTATGCTTTCTTTCAGCTATCCCATTCTGATGAGGGGTGTCAACACAAGAAGACTGATGAACAACCCCTAAAGAAGATAAAAAAAGAAGAACACTTTGTGCTAAAAAACTCAGACCCATTGTCACTACGAATTGTTTTGATAGAAGTCTGAAAATGATTATGAACCAAGGAAAAAATCTTTTTAAAGAACTAAGAGTATCAGACTTGAGCTTCAACAGATACACACATGTCATTATCGTGTAGTCATCAACGATTGTAAGAAATAATTTATGACCACTATGAGTAGAAACCCTATAAGAACCCCATAAGTCCATATGAATCAACTGAAAAGGAATATCAGACCTAGACTTACTAATTAGGAAAGGTAACCGAACCTGTTTGACTAATGGACAAACATAACAAGAATGAATGATAGAAGAATCCAATTTACAAGCAAGCAAAGAAATATGATGCAATTTCAACAAATAAGCATGACCCAACTGAACATGTCAAATACAAGTTTTATTAACAACAGAAGACATACAATGAGATTAAATATTGAATGACATACTAGAAACTTTAGAAACAGAACTAGGAAAAAATCGAGATGACTCGAGAACACATAAGCCTCCTCGTTTCCTACCAATCCCCAGCAACTTGCTAGTGGAGAGATCCTGAAAGATGCAAAAATAAGGATAAAAATGAACAACACAATTCAAATCAAGGGTTAATTTGGAAACATACTACAAATTGTGAGTAAATGAAGGCACAAATAGAACATTATGTAAAATATGAACAGAATCAAAGAAATAGAAACCAATGTGAGTGATTGGAAGAGTTTTACCATTTGGAAGATGTATAGAATGTGAAGAACATGCAACGGGATTACTCAAGCATTGAAAATCAGACAACATATGGTCTGTAACACCAATGTCAAGAATCCATGTAACTGAACTGGATTCAAAAGCAGGTAAACCATCAATAACCATAACTGCAAAATTGGCAGTAGCAACATCACTAGATTTAGAAGAAGAATCTTTATTGAGAAGCCCCAAAAGCCGATTATACTGGTATGTGGTAAAAACCAGAGCCAAAGGAGTAGACAAAGAACTGGAGTTAGAATTAGAATCAGGATGCTCAGAACTAACAATCATGGTAGAGGAATTCTTTTTGCCCTTTGTGAACTTAAAATCAGGAGGAAAACCTTTAAGCCTATAGCACTGTTCACGTTTATGACCCCAAATCTTTCAAAAATCACAAACACCATTGTATCATGCACGATGAACATTAGAGGAGTTTGAATACATTGCAGCAGAATCAGAAATAGGTGAAATACCATATGAATAGCACTGTTGTGATTCCTCATGTACGACCATGGAATAAGCACGATTGACCGATGGAAGTGGATCCATAAGACGGATCTGGCTCCGAACTGTAGAATAGGTCTCATTCAAACACATTAAGAACTGAAATAAGTGTTGTTGAAGAATGTGATCTAAAACCTGCTGAGAGTCAGCACAATTGCAAGAAGAAGCAGGCACCAAAGCACTGTATTCATCCTAAAGAAGCTTAAGACGCGAATAATAGGTGCAAACAAAAGAATCTCCCCGAGTAAGGAAAGCAATCTCACGATGCAAGAAAAAAATACGAGAGCCGTCAATTTTGTTGAACCTGTCTCTCAAATCCTTCCATACAAATACAACAGTAGACGCAAACACCAAACTAGTAGAAAGCTCAGTACTCACAATATTCAATAGCCACAAAAGAACGATCGCATTAAAGCGGTCCCACTGCAATTGAAGAAGATCCCCAAAATCATCACGACTGCAATCACCATCGATGAACCCTAATTTATTCTTAGCCAACAATGCAATATGAATCGAACTACTCTAGAGATAATAATTCTCAATCCCCGTTAATTGATGAGAAACCAAAACGGTTCCAGGCGTATCAGATGGGTGAAGATAAAGGGGTGGGTAAAATCAACATAATCCATGAGGAAAAAAGAAAATGACAAGGAAACGGAAAAGGAAAACGCAAAAAAATCACAAAGGTTGAGCAAAGGATCGAGTCCTTTCCTCTGATTCCATATAAAAATAAACACTGTAAAAGAATTCCTCAATTATTATTCAAATATATTGGTACAATACTGTATTTATACAAACTAATAAAAGTAATCAATCTGCTAACTAAATGTAACAAACTAACTGACTAAACTATTTCCCAACAACACTTTTATTTCCATGACACTTTTAATACCTTATGACTTTATAACACAATTGATCATTAATTTATGTCATATTTTATGATAACAATCTACATTATAATTATGCGTCTATAATTATGTATTTTGATCCAACAGACAATCGTCAACCTCTTTGTTGATACAGTTAGCCAATCTTCTCGACAACACTCACGCTAGGACCTTATACGTACTACCCACAAGACTAATTGGCATACAGTCTTCAACTGTTTTGGGTGAAACAACCTTGGGAATAAGAGTAATGAAGGAATGATTGAGGGATTTATCTATCAACCTATCTTCGGAAAAAGCATCAAGAAACGCATGATGTCCTTCTTGGGATATGGCCAAAATTCTGTGATAAAATCCAAATTGAAACCATCCGATTCGGGGCATGAGAATCGTCTGTTGAGTTTATGGCAGACCAAACTTCCTCCATAGTAAAAGAAGACTAAGAAACTGGAAGAAAAGGTATAATCTTTTGAAACTCAACGTCAAAGTATTTTATCGGAAGTTTGAGTTACCCGCTCGAATAAAGGTAACGTGATTAGCTCTTCTCCTTACGGATGCCAATAGATGAAAGAACTTAGTATTTTTATCTCTCTTTAAATTATTTCAGTCGAGATTTCGCAACCATTCTCTTTCATCCCTTCTATACTTTTCTTACAGGGAAACTTTGGGAGCTTGAATAGAAGAGGTGATATGAGATTTATCCCCACTAGACCACAACTCAAATTTCAATCGAGCAATTTTTTCTTCAATCACTGTAACCGATTTAGAGTCTAGAGCCCGAACATCACTAACCTATTTCTTCGTCGAAACTTCGATTCTTCTCATAATGTCACCAATGTTGATCTTTGGAGACCCTGAACAGATGGATTTCACTAAATCAACGTACTAGAGCACATCCGCCTAGTGAGAGAACCACTTGAACGACCGCGGACTTCAAAAAGCTGGATCGTCGTTCAGAATCACAGGATTGTGATCCGAAGGACTTCTCGGGAGAGAGAGATCTGATAGATATAAGGGTAGCTACCCAAAATTTCAGGTGATAATAAGAACCTGTCTAACCTGCAAGCGTTAACGCTATCTCAACCACAATACAGGTGTACTGTCGGCCAGTCAAAAGGAGATCGTCAAAATTATTGATGCTAATGAAGTTCACGAAATCAAACACACTATCTCAAAATAATTTATTTTTTTGATTAATTTATCGAGATTCATATTTTTATTTTATATTATTTTCTGAATCAAGTTTAAAAGTTATATTTTTTCCACCGATAGGATACTAAATTTCTGTAGCGGTTTCATTTATGATTATTAAAAAATCGGTTAAAATAATAACAATAAAAAATATTTCATGAAAGTTATAGCGAATAGAACAACTTATGAATGGGCCTGTCCATAACATGAAGGCCCTATCTTCCTCTCACAAGGCCTGGACCACTTTCCCGAACGTTTAATAACCGATCAGCTGAAAATTTTCACGTAAATTATCTAGGGTTTCTCTCTCATAAAATACCCACCAAAGAAAATCAGAGTACTACGAAGCCAAAAGAGGAGAGGTAAACACGAAAAATAAACTCTCGGAAAACTTTGGGTTCTTTTTCTCAGGAAACGGGTAAATATTTTTAATTTTTTAACCTTTTTTGGCTTTATTTTCTCTCGTCTGCAGGTTTTTAAAGAAGAAAGGAATTGTGTGTAAAGGATGGCAGGGAAAGAAGAGAACCGAATATTTGTCGGAGGATTATCATGGGATGTCACCGAACGACAGCTTGAGCATGCGTTTAGTCAATTCGGGAAAATTCTTGAATCTCAGGTACCCTTTCTTTTTGTGGTTTCAAATAATAAATAAATTGTTTTTTTTGTTTTCTCTCTTTTCATGTTATGTTTGGTTGCCTGGAGAATTAGATAAGAGTAATTGTTGGGTGATTTACAAGGGGTGAACTTTGTGAGAAAATGGGTTGTTGAATTTGCCATTAATTTTGGATGAATATTATATGCTTTAGCAAATGGATTAAATTATCGAGAAGTGAAGCTTTTATTATTACATTATTGACATTTTCCCGACAAGATGGTGTCGAATTTGATATGGTACTTTAAACATGCACTGTTGCGGGTTTCTTATCTATGTTTTACATATTTCTTGTTGATAGAGAGAAATTGCATCTATATTATCAATTGTAGAACCTGTTTTACAAGCTTATATGATATTAGATTCGGGGTTGAAAGTAATGTTTTCCGTTTTCTTGTTTCTTTCTTCCTCATCAAATTAATTCTTCTTGTTTCTTGTCTTTTTGAATTGCTTTAAGAACATTTCAACATGCCGTGGATGGGGTTTTTAGGGAGGTTTTTGGTCAGGGTGACTGCATCAAGTTGTTGAAGTGCAAAGTATCTCTATTTATAATGCTCAAGCACAAAGTATTTGTTTAATTATGATTTATGCTTCATGGAAGGGAGATAGAGTTAAAACCGATTGTCTTAAATTGTGTATGGAGAAACCGTTTTGTTGGGATAAAAGGATCCTTGCATGCAGGAACAAGCCTTAAGTTTTTTTGCTTTATCTGTGAATTTTAATTTTGAAGAGCCCGAAATGATCATTGAGACTGTCTAAAGAAATATGCATTGTTTATTAAGTGGCCACTTGTGTTAAGCATCACAGTGAAGCTTTTGTGGAGTTGGTTCAGAAAGTTTTATGGCAAGACTGTTGTTTTCCTTTTTCATGGACAACAAATGAGTCATCAATTTGTGTCAATTTGCCTTCTAAGAGGATCAGAGTTTTGTCGATCTAGGGTATATGGAAGCATTTATAGGCCTTTATTACTTGTGAAGTGCATGTGGATCCTTTTTGTTACTGTACGATTCTTTGTGCCTGGCCTTTTTTTGTTGCTGTGGAGTGTTCCACCTTTGTCTCTACTCATTAGCATCCAGTTTTCGTGCCCACTTACTATGTTTGAAATGATGGCAAAGAGCAGCTGTGTACACTCCTGCATGATTGTGTAGTTTTCCTCGGGGCAGAGTTTGTTCTTTTGGATGGGATTGATATCATCATCTCGGTTTATATGGTAGACTGCGGCTTAAGATACCCCTTTTGGCCTTATTTTGAGATTTTTTTGTTGATTTCCTTTTTCCTGTTATCTAACATTCTAAACTAGTTTAAAACTGAATGTCCGACCAGCCTGAAGACTTGATCCATGGATATTCGTATAGCAAGTTCAAATATCACTCTTTCAATTTGTTCCACTGTTCAGCCAAACAGTTTAGCAAGACCCAATTTGTTGTTATTTTTCACTTGCCTCTGATAAAAGCCTCAAGAGCCCGGAATTGTTTTTATTGTGACATCCAAATCTGTTCGTTTTCCGGGACTGCATCAGTATGGCAGATAATAGATCAAGCACTCTCTATAGCAGTAAGCTTTGGAAGCTTATAGCATTGTAGTGACCGCGCTATCTCTGGGTTTTTATAGTGAGAGCCTTTTCAAAGCTAGCCAGTTGTCTTGACCTAGAATACTGAAACTGTAAGACATTGGTCTCACCTTTTATGGCAGTTGCTGAACCTGCTTTCGAATCTCTCCTCACTAACCGATTGCACATGGACATGAGAAGTACATTATTTAGCATATAGAGACTGGTGATGTCCCTGCTTCTCATGTTATTTATAGCTTGCAGACAAATCGATTGATATGGAAAATGTTTTTGGCTTAGTAAGGATTGATTTTAGCCCATTGTGGTACCACGGTGTCTATTGTTTGTTAACACTGACTGGTGGAATTTAACTATAAAGAGGAAGAGAAACTGCAAATCAGAAAACCATCTGTTTGACCATATGGAGGTTTGATAAGTTCTGCATAAACTGTTATTCTGATTCCTGTGGGAAATGAGACAGAGTTCTTTTTACCAGATCAGAAAAGGCAAAATTTTGCGGTATCTTCTGTTCTGTTTTAAGAATCTTTGAATATCATATCAATACATAACAAGGAGAAAGTAAGTTATGCTTCCTTCTTTGTTCCCCCTTACTGTGTTTTCAAAGTTCATTTATTCATTTCCATAGATGAAGTTGATGAAGTTTTATTGGAAATATAGTTGTTTTACGAATTTTGCAATTTTCCCTATAACACCATATTCCTTCCTTCAACTTTTCTTTTTTCTTTTTTTTCTTTTTTATATTAAAATCGAACTGTCTGGTGATATAAGTAATAGATGCACAGTAGTTCAGAGGCATTATTGTCTAGAGTGATGTTCTTCAAATTTATTTAATGTCTCGAGCTGCGGAGAGCTAAGAGGCTTTCAATCTACATCTTTTAATTTTTTCTGTAGGGTATTGTATCCATGTCACTGTCATCTATCCTTTAATGTATAAGATGATGCATCGTACTTGTTCGTTTCTTTCTATGTTAAAATGCTTATGTATGCTGTATAAATCTATTTGCAGCGTTTAGTACTTGCTTTACATATTCTTTGATTCTTGGGATGAGAAATTTGTGCGTACGTCTGTAGATCATGGTGGAGAGAGATACAGGGCGATCTCGTGGATTTGGATTTATTACATTCTCAGATCGCCGGTCCATGGATGAAGCTATCAGGGAGATGCATGGGCGAGAGTTGGGGGAGCGCACCATCTCGGTGAACAAGGCTCAACCCAAGATGGGTGATGATCTTGATCATGGCTATAGAGGTGGTTACCCATCGAGTGGCAGGGGTCGCTATGCAGGTGGAGACAGGCCTGTTGCGCAAGATGAATGCTTCAAGTGTGGGCGCTTTGGGCACTGGGCTCGTGATTGCCCTTCAGCTTGTGGTGGCCGAGGTGGGAGTGGCGGCATGTTCCCTTCACGTTCAAGATATGGTGGAGCAGATGACCGTGGTGATCGTTTCAGAGACCGTGATCGTTACATTGATGACCGATATGATGGTGGACGCTTTGGAGATAGGGACCGTTTTGACAGCAGAGATGACAGATTTGGAAACCGAGATCGTTTCATTAGCGACAGGTATAAGATTTCACCTAATGTTCTGCACAGGTTTGACATGTCTGTCATATCGATTCTAATGTTTCCATAAACAATGCAGGTATCTGCCTAGTGGAGATCGATTTGCTGATCGCGATGGTGGTTCGGACCGTTTCCCTCAAAATGGTTATGGCAAAGGGAGGGGGTTTCGGGATGTTGCTCCAGGAGGTAGCGATAGGTATGGAAGCGGAGGGCCTGCACGGAATGATGCAAGAGGCTACCGTAACAGGGCTGGCCCTTATGATCGTCTAGGCATGGGAGGCCGCCTGTCTTCTTTTGACCGCTATTAAGCGATGTCGTTATGATATGTCAAGTTTTAGGTGAGAGCATTGTGTATGCATAGGTACTTGGTGTTTTTTTATACAATCAATTGAATCACGTAGGGTGCTGGAATTTCTATGAATGGTAGGATTTGACAAAGTTTAATTAAATTAGAGAATCCGTTCCTTTTGTGAACTTATTTCTTACTGGATGAATGTTTCACGCCTTAATCTTGCCTAAATAAGCCTTTTAATGCCACTTAGTGCCCTCATTAACTCCAGTTAATGTACAGAAGTCTCTCTTTATGGTTGAAAGACTGGACCGGTTGGATCTTGGTCTAACCAAGTCACATGTCATTTGATTAAAGAGCTGTGCCATTTAATAAAATTTATATAATTTTATGTTGTCTTATTATTTATCTATTATATCAATTGGTTTAAGATATCATTTAATTATTAGATTAGAATAAGGTTATTAAATTGATGAAATATGTAAGGACTAACAATCAAATATGTAATTATATTAACCAAATGATTTGATAGTTAGAATTCAAAGATTGATGGTTAGATTAAAATGTATCAATGATTAAGTGGTTATGGTTACAATTCACCCTAAATACTAATATGATTAGTGGTAGATGTATATGTAACTTAGGATAGGTACATGTCGATTCTTAAATTTGATTTTTATAGATTGATTGTTCTTTTTATTTATGGTGTAAAATTTTATTATGTCTATTTCATATAAAAAATTACCATAAGAGTATACACATTTGGTTTAGAAGTCAAATTGTTCATATCTATTTTCTCATATTTTCTTAGGTTATGCGTTTTATACCTACTAAGAGCATTCTTTCTTTTATCCTTGAGTAATCTCTTTCCCCTCTAAATATGATTATAATTAAATTTAGAATTTGTTAAGACAAATTGTTATTAATATATATATATATTTATTTTTAAAAATATTTTTAGATCATCACTAAACATGATAAATGATTTTTTTATTAAGCTAAGATGATTTACAAAGTAGTATCTGTTCTAAATAGGCTCAACCATTTGATAATAAATGCTCAATCACATTGTTGTAACCGTTGGTGTTCGAATTCATAACCTCTAAAAATAACAACGATTCTTTTAACTACTAAAATAAGTTAATTCATGCCTGATAAATGAAGTTGTTAGGTCAAATGACAAAATCAACAGTCTTCCAAAATCAATTAAGTTTTTAGGTCAAGTGTTACACACGTGTTGAAAGTTCCTTTCTAGCTTTCGGCCACATTATTGGGTCGCAGTCAATAATTAAATTTTGAGCTCGACATCAGGCATTAAAATTTTAAATTTTAAACAAATTATATGATATTTAATTAGATAAAATTATATGATTTAAATTTTATATTAGATGTGTATCAAGTAATCCTTCTTTTATATTATAATATATATAAAAATATATTATCACAAGGTGTGTTCGTTTTATTGATTTGGATTTTTAATTTATATAATGAAGAGATTTGACTGCACGTGGATTCGTTTAAGCCTTATTGGAGATGTTGCTAATCCCACTCGATCTGGACAAGGTTTTTTGGGGTTATTCAGATTAATTTGGTTTTTAATTATTTTTTACATTTAAACATTTTTAATTAAAAAATACAAAAAATAACTTTTAATAATAAATGAACAATGAATATGATTAGAAAGCTGGGTAAAAAACACGAAAGGCATCCAAAAACTGATACAGGATTGCTTGCGGACTACAATCTACGTAGTATGTAATGGTGTGCTTGACTTCACACTCACACACACAAGTTATTAGAATAGTTAAATTTAATAGTTAATATTAAATTTTTTACATTGATGATAATTTTTTCGTAAATTTTTTTATATCTCTCATATTTGTTTTTATAATACATATAAGGCAAGATCTAATTACACAATGTGAAATTACTTTAGTTTTATACATATTTAGAACCGTTAGATGAGCGAAAATAGTTGACTAGAATTAACAGTATGAAATGAGAAAATATTCACTAAAAAAATTAAATTAACACAACCATTTATTTTCACTCATCCAACTATATATATATATGATTTGTTTACTAGATATAACACTTAAAAAAATTTATTCAATGTGTAATCAATAAGCAAACTTAGTTATAAAATAGAGAGAATCGCCTCAGTGACCAAAAAAAAGTTATAATATACGATTTTAACCAACTTTTTTTGGATTTGCCAAAATGACCAACAAAATCGCAACGCGAAATAAAAATCGCAACGCGATCCCCAGAATCGCAAATCAGTTTCCAAAATCGCAACGCGATTCTTGAAAATCGCGATGCGATAGTACAAATTCGCATTGCGATTTTCCATAATCGCAACGCGAATATGAAAATCGCAACGCGAACACATAAATCGCAACGCGTATCCGTAAATCGCAACGTGTATCCGTAAATCGCAACGCGTATGGGTAAATCGCAATGCGTATCCGTATATCGCAACGCGTATCCGTAAATCGCAACGCGTATCCGTAAACTGCAACGTGTATCCGTAAATCGCAACGCGTATCCGTAAATCGCAATGCGTATCCGTAAATCGCAACGCGTATCCGTAAATCGCAACGATAATCCGTAAATCGCAACGCGTATCCGTAAATCGCAACGATAATCCGTAAATCGCAACGAGAATCTGTAAATCGCAACGATAATCCGTAAATCGCAACGAGAATCTGTAAATCACAACACTTAAATTTTGGGTATATAACACTGAAATCATAAACTAAATCCCTAAATCGCAACTCATTCCATCTCCATCTATCACTCTCTCCGGCGACATCCGTTCCTATATCCAACGACATCCTTCCCAATCCGGCAACAAGTTTTAGTTTCGCAGCTCGTCTGTTTAGTAAATTAATTTACAACCATGAAATCATCTAATGTTGATCATGTTTGGATAGATTTGTGTTTTGGAGGGTCATGGGATAATGTTCATGGTGTTTTACAATATATGCCTTTACCCATGAATCTTCAACTAAAATTGTCTTTACAAAAGTTAACTTATGAAACTCTAATGCTACGTGTTTCAAATAAATTGAATTTAGAGCCCCTAAGTGGATTTAGGCTATCTTATCAGAGAAATGGTAAAGTTATTTGTTAACCGACAATGAAGATGTTGAACGATTCATTGCTTACATTAGTGTTTCACAAGATGATGTTACATTGTATGTTGTTGAACCTAGAAGTAGTATTGTTGGGTCAGTAGCGGGTAGTAATCAACTAAGTTTTTCTCAAAACCCACAACCTTTCTCTAATCCAAATCCCAATCAACTTTCAGCACCAAATTCCGGTTTTCGTATTGACCAGTTAGACGATGATGAGCCAACAGAAAAAATTGTGAGTACTAGTCAGTATTCGAAATTTGGTCTTGGTCAATATCCGGACTTTGATATTGGTCAATACACGGATTTTGATGATGTTTCAGAAGAAGAAACAGACCATGCGTGTAATGATATTGATATTGGTCAATACCCGAATTTTGATGATGAAACAGCCGTTGCCGAAGAATGTAATGTTGATGATAATGAGGAGGAAGTTACGACTGTGAATGAACATGTTGAACATCCATTCTGTAATTCATATAATCCTGAAGAAGAAAAAGAAGAAGAAAAAGTCCCCGAAGAAAAGAAAATGCCACGGGCGTATAACTGGAATATGCCAGAATTACTTCAGATACCGGAAGAAGAGTTGATAAAGAAGCAGTTGATTGTTACACAAAAGTTATTCGTATCAAGAAAGATGATTGTTTTGATACAAAGGAAGACTTGAAGATAGCTTTATATACGAAATGTGTGGAAGATGGCTATCAACTAAAAGTTAACAAATCAAGCAAAGATCGTTTCGAAACAAGGTGTATGATTGACAAAAACTGTACGTGGCGTATGATTGCAAAGAGAATAAAAGATTGCAAAATGTTTCAAGTTAGGACTTTATTGATAAACATACATGTTCAAGAACCCAAGTTTTTCCTCACCATAGACAGGCAAACAAAAAGGTGTTGGGTGGTTTTCTGGCTGAGTTAATGTTTTGAATGGCAGGGTATATCGGGGACATGAAATTATGACTGACATGAATGCTCGGTTCAAGATTAGTATATCATATTCTCAAGCTTGGAGAGCCAAATGTTATGCCTTGGAATTGTTGAGGGGGTCGCCAGAAGCATCGTTTGCCCAACTGCCGGCTTATTGTCACAATTTAAAGCTGAAAAATCCTGGGTCGGTAACTCATATCAAAACAGATAGAGATGGACGCTTTGAGTTGCTGTTTATCGCCATTGGTGCTACGGTTAGTAAATCAATATAATTTTGTTGACTCATTTTTGTTAGTTACATGCATTTCACATTTAAATGATTATATTTCTTGTGTATATTATTTTGTAGATTCGTTCGTTTATTACTTGCATGCGCCCAGTTATTATAGTTGACGGAGCACATTTGAAAGGTCGATACCTTGGAGTAAACTTATTAGCAGTAGCCATGGATGCTAACAATGGGATATTGCCAATAGCTTACGGGGTTGGCAAATCTGAAACCTCTGATTCATGGACATGGTTTATGGGGCATCTTAGGGATTGCATAGGTCCTATTAGCAATCTGACAATCATATCCGATAGGGCAAACTCAATTGACAACGCTGTTAGAAGGTGTTTCCCAGATGCTTTTCATGGACTTTGTGGTGTTCATTTGTATAGAAATCTAAAATCAAGGTCTGCTGGTATAAAAAAGCACAAATGGACATACTGGAAGGCTGTAAAAGCTTATCGGGAAGTGGATTTCAATAAGCATATAAATTGTTTAAGACGTGTTTTGCCTCAGTGTGCTCAAACACTAGAAGATGTCGGGTTTGAAAGATGGTCAAGAGTACATCAACTTGGAGCAAGATATGGTTTCATGACGTCTAATAGTGCAGAATCAATCAACGCTCTAAGTCGTCATTCCCGGAAATTACCCATTACTATGTTAATGGAGTTTTTTCGAGCCTCTATTCAACAGTGGTACTACAAGAAAAGAAACCATGCAGGTATTATTTCTTTGAATTCGTAACTTATCATATTATATATTTTACTAAGTATTGTTTATTTAAATTTACAGGAACATTGGAACATCGTGTTACACCATGGACTGAAAAAAAGATAACGAAACGTGTTGTGAAGTCAACGTCAT